AAGCATCCAAATGGAGAGATCGAATATGAAGATGGATATATAGAATTGGGATTCAGAGAAGTAGTATGAATAAAAACTAAATTTGATGTTGGTGCTCATCACTACCACTGAACTGTACGGTCCTGGACAGGGTCAGAGTGACACAGTGGAAGGAGCGCTGACCTAGACTTGGTATCTAGGGGACTTGGGTTTTAGTCCCAATTCTGTCATTAACTACTGTCTCTGAATTTCAGAAACACAGGAGGTTGTCCTAGGTCAAGGTTTCTTTAACCTTTTTTGGATAAGAATTACCTCTTCTCCTCAAAAATGAATACACAAAAACATTACACATGATTTCTGGGGTTTATTCAGTTCTTGGCACCTTTCTGTGGACCCCGAATTAGCAACTCCTACTAGACTATCTGACAAGACAACCAAAGTTTAGGAGGTCTTTCTTGTACATACATTAAATATCTGTTGGTCCTCCAGGTACCCCTAGAGAATATGACAGGCCTTGAACCAAGGAGAGGGGACATAGGGCCTAGGTCTGCCTTGTTCTCTGCCAAAAAGTATCTATTACCATGAAATGAAGCTAGTCAGTACATCCAAAGGCCCCAATCTACTTTTCAAGGCTTATCTTCTTTTACCCTTTCTTTCTTCTTGGCCTATGATCCAGACAAATTGGACTACACACATTATCCCCTTTCTTGGAATATCCTTCCTCCATAACTCCAAACATCCCAACGCTGCCCCACCCCTTCTCCTGAACTAGAAGTAACCTCAGCCTATTCTAAACATCCACAGCACTTTGTCTGTGTTCCTCTTAAGGAACTTACTGAGTTCCCCCTCATTATTACTGTTGTGCCTCCCCTACTAAAAGCTCCTGTTACCCTTTAAAAGAGCCTTCTCGTTTGGAGAAACAAGATGGCAGTGTAGGTAACAGCTGCACCCGCCGCCTCCCACAACCACATCAAAATTACAACTAAAATACAGAACCACCATCACTCAGAACCTCCTGAAATCTGGGTGAACAGAAACCCTACAACCAGGGAACTGAAGAAGCACCGAGACCGGTAGGAGGGGGGAGACGCCGGAGGATAGGGGCTGAATTGAAGACTCGCCGCTGGCCCACACCCAGTGCTGTGGGGTAAACCCGAGAGGGAATCTCGGCAGGGGGGTTTCCCGGAGGAGTGAGGGGTCCCAGCCCCACAGCAGGTCCCTCAGCCCAGGGCTCCAGGGCCAGGAAGAGATGTCCCCACAACTCTGGGCTGTGAAACCAGAGGGAACTGTCTCTGAGGGTCACGGAGGCTGCAGGAGCCCAGGCTTTCCTCTTAAAGGGCCGGGGTACGGACTCACTCAGACGCGCTCCCTCTGAGCCCAGCGCCGGGCAGCAGCTTGAAAGGAACCTGGGACACTTGGGAAGCAACTAACCTGCCTGAAGTTGGGGCAAGAGCTGGAGGGGCAGCTTTCTCCCAGGCAGAAGAGCTGGCAGAGGCCACTGCTCCTTTGGTGAGTCCTCCCCGAAAACAGCCAGCAGGTGCCATATTTGAATCGCCAGCACCTGACTCACACCTTTGGCCCCGCCCCGTGATTTCCAGAGGCCCTGCCCCTCCCCACCTGCAGCTCATCCCAGGCCACTTCCAGGGGCTTTTCTGTGCAAGTGGCCTCTCCAGCCCCATGCTTAGGACTTTCCTAAAATCTCTCAAATAAGCAGCAGCATGCCCCATACGGCTTGATAGGTGGCCCAAGGCCTGGCACTAGCGGCAGCCTGCATTGGATCATAGCTTGGCCTCTCCTGGACAACGCCAAGCCCAGCACAAGTAGCAGCCAACTACAGTTTGCTGTGTAGCTCATGCTGCGTGGCCCTGGGCAAGGCACTGGCAGAGGCTGACTTTGCACCGCCCCGGAGGCCCAAGAGACAGTGCACCTGGTGGTCAGACTCGACCACGCTGGATTACAACCCTACCACATCCACGAGTGACACTCAAGGGAGGCACTTGGTGAACACCAAAGCTCCACTGAAGTAAATCCTGCTTCATAGGGGTTCTCCAGCACAGCAATTCTTCGGCTGTAGTTGCAGCTGGTCCTCACAGCTGATTGGCCTGGGAGTCAGTTCCTCCCAGGGATGCCAACAGCAACCAAGGCACAACTAAAACAGGAGAGAGCACACAGCCCACACAGGGGAGCACCTAGAAGGCCCAGCTCAGGTGACTGGGGAGGCTGAGCCACTGGACCCTACAGGACACCTACTACACAAAGCCACTCTACAAATTCCAGGAGACATAGCAGCTCTACCTAATACATAGAAACAAACACCTGGAAGCAGCCAAAATGTGGAGGCAAAGAAACATGTCACAAAGGAAAGAACAGAAGAAATCTCTAGAAGAGGAACTAAATGAAATAGATCCAAGCAAGCTAACAGATAGAGAGTTCAGAATTTTGGTTATAAGGATGTTTAAGCAGACTATTAGGGAAATAACTGAGAAAATCGATAACATAATAAAGTACCAATTTGAAATGAAGGCTACAGGAACTGAAATGAAGAATAATTTACAGGGAATCAACAGTAGAGTAGAGGATGCTGAGAATCAAATCAGCAATTTGGAACATGAGGAAACAAAAAACACCCAACCAGAAGAGCAAAAAGAAAAAAGAATCCAGAAATATGAAAATAGTATAAGGAGCCTCTGGGACAACTTCAAGAGCCCAACTTTTGTCTTATTGGGGTGCCAGAAGGGGAAGAAAGAGACCAAGAAATTGAAAACCTATTTGAAAAAATAATTACAGAAAACTTCCCCTACCTGGGGAAAGAAATAGACTTACAAGTCCAGGAAGCACAGAGGGTCCCAAACAAGAGGAACCCAAAGAGGCCCACAGCAAGACACATCATCATTAAAATGCCAAAGGTTAAAGACAAAGAGAGAATCCTAAAAGCAGCAAGAGAAAAGCAGTTAGTTACCTATAAGGGAGCATCCATACAACTGTCAGCTGATTTCTCAACAGAAACTTTGCAGGCCAGAAGGGAATGGCAAGAAATATTCAAAGTGATGAAAAACATGGAACTACAACCAAGACTGCTCTACCCAGCAAAGCTATCACTTAGAATTGAAGGTCAAATAAAGAGCTTCACAGATAAGAAAAAGCTGAGTTCATCACCACCAGACCAGCACTACAGGAAAAATTGAAGGGTCTTCTTTAGGAAGAAGCTAATGAACAAAAGAATCTGATGAACTAAATAGATCCAGAGACATTGATGCATGCAACAGACGATCATATTTCAGAGGAAGGAGGGAAGGGGTGAGGAGGGTGGGAAGAGATTAACCAAAGAAGTTATATGCATATATGCATAACCCATGGACACAGTCAATAACGGGGTGAAGGCTTGGAGGGGGTGGGAGCGAGGTGGAGGGGGTCAGTTGGCAAAAAATGGGACACCTGTAATACTCTCAACAATAAATTAAAAAAAAATAAAAAAATAAAAGAGCCTTCTCACATATCCCTTATCTCATCTGAGTGAAAACTGGATCCCAACCACACTGGTCTGCTTAGACCTTGGTTTTTGGCTAGACAACAGCCCAACCCCCACACACACTTGTGTCCATTCTACACACTGATGTTTAATATTTTAAATTCTGATTATGTCACTTCTCTGAGTAATATATACATCAACAGCTCCCAATTACTTTCCTCAAACGTTCTCAACTTCAGGGTTCCAACACATTAGCTAGATCTGGTTTGAAATGTCTAAGGTAGTTTCTCACTATTAATGAAGTACAAGTTAAACAATTTATAAATGTAGAGCACTTAGAATAGTGCTCAGCACACTGTGTTATTATATAGGTGCTAGGCATTACTAATACTGAAATTTTAAGACTTATCAAACAGGTGCAACACATGTTGCACATCCACATGGCCCACTTCTCATTTCAGCTGTGGCTGCAGGGGACAGTTCTGTGCAGGTTGACAGCATCTCTCCTCAATGGCCCTATGGGTCTCCCTGCTTTTCTGCTCTAGAGCTTCCTCTTATAAGTTCAATCATTTAATGAGCAGGGCAGCCTGGAAATATAGAGTTATTCATAGCCATTAATTTTATTTTAATTTATTGATTTTTAGAGAAAGAAACAGAGAGGGAAGGGGAGGGAAGGAGAAAGGGGGGAGGGACATAAATTTGTTGTTCCACTTATTTATGCATTCATTGGTTGATTCCTGTATGTGCCCTGATCAGCCGGCAGCTTTGGCATATCCGGATGACGCTCTAACCAACTGAGGTACCCGGCCAGGGCAGGCATTAATTTTCATCTGACTTATTATCTGCTTCCCCTTCCTGCATTGCTACAACTACCAACCATGATCCAGGGTTAGATAACAGAAATCTTATCTACAGCAGTGTCCTACTCCCTGGCACCTTTATCAACACCTTCATTTGGAACATCAGGCCATCTGCCTTACCCTTCTGAGCCTCCTGCTTTGGGCCCACTAGCACATGTTGAAAGGACACGACCTAAGCATCTGCTATTTGAAAAGAGTCAATGGGTTGGGGTAGAAAAGAAAACACGGCAGTCATAGGTCTCAATGTCAAGGAGGGGGTGCAAAGGGAGTGGAGGAGCCTTGAGGCCTGGCTTTTCTTTCGTCCTAAGCTCTAAGTGGAGTTAAATCAGCCTTCAGGAGAGACTGAAGTATCTCCAGCCACAGTCAGAACACAAACGGAATTAGAGGCTGACCCTGCGCAGGCGCAGGATGGAGGCTAGCGTTCTCTCTCGGGCTCTCGCCGCCGCCTCCACTAGACAAGGGCTAGAGGGAGAACAGAGTACCCCGCACAAGGAGCCTTCCTTCTGTGATCCCTTCTTCCTCGTGAGGCTCTCAGACCACCCTAAAATGGTTGAGGGATCCCACCTTCTGAGGCCGTCACTACTGGCCCAGGGCCCAGTCGAGCCTGGAAAGCGAGTGCCAGCCAGCCTAGGCGCCAAGACAGGAAGGGCGCCAGACCTCTCGGGACCTGTACTCCTCGCCACCATTCTCACCTCTTTGTCCGCCGCCTTCTCCTCAATACCTAGCAGCGCGTACAAGTCCATCTGTAAGAGCTCCTTGGTCACCGACATGGTTCTAACCCTGACTGGATTCGTACTACAACTCCCAAGAATCTAAGCGTGCGTGCGGATTCCCGGGGACTGCGGGCCTCGTGCCTGCCATTTGGCGCTTAGCACTCTGGGAAATGTCGTGTTCTGGGTCCAGCTTGACTGCCTCTGGGGGAAGCGGGCCGTCGTAAATGAACTATGACTCCCGGCAGCCCCCGCGCCGGCCGCTGCGCTCTCTACTATGGTGGCCGGTCGCGATTTCCCTGCGGGAGGCTGTAGCTGGCCCGCGAGAGTGGGCGTGGGGGAGAGGGGCGGAGCTGGGTGAAGGTCCTGGGGGCCCGGGACTGGGCCGGCGGGATCTCAGTTCTGCGGACCCTGCCGCACCACACCGGGAACCGGGATGGAGAGTAGGTGCTACGGCTGCGCTGTCAAGTTCACCCTCTTCAAGAAGGAGGTGAGTCTTCTCCCCACCTGGGCTAGAGGGCCAGGGAGGACACAGAGTCGGGGGGAAAACACTGGACTAGCAGCCCATAGACTGGTTTTATGGCCTCTTTCCAGCAGTATGCTTTTGATTAAGACACTAAGCCTTAGTTTTCATTTCTGTAAAATGGGGCTAGCACTCGCTCGCCCGCGGGGTTGGTGTTGTGAGTCCAGTGAAGTGCTGGAGGAAAAAGTTCTCTATAAACTGTAAAGCGCGCTCCTGTTGTTTTTGGAAATCTAGACTTTTCTATCAGCCAAGTGTAGGATCCGGCTGTTTCCTCCCCTCAACCCTGCTTCTCCGCAGCCGCAGCCGTGCGACTGCTCGCCATGACACCATGTCCCGTTACTCTCTCTGCTCTGAAACCTTCACCATCGCGAAGCCCGCCCTTGCCGCCCGGGTTTCTTGAGTTAGGTTACCGACCTTTCTCCTGCCCTCAGGGCACCATGGCAAAGTCTCTCTTGTCTTCAGCCGTAACCGGGAGACAGGAACCACATAGGATGAATGAAGAGCATGTAGGGAGGCAGATCCGTGTAACACTTAGAAACCTGGGTTTGGGAGTCAGGGTTCAAATTTGAGCTCTGTTGTCCTATTCACTGGGTGGTGACCTTTGTTGAGGCAAGTCATGTAACCTCTCTGACCCCACCTACAATAAGAACAATAATGGTGGACATCAAGAGTAAGTAAAATAGTGCGTAGAAATTGTGAGGATTAAATCAGTCGATGAATGTTAAATACTGAGCTTAGTGCCTGACACACAGTAAATGCTTAATAAGTGGAGTCTATTGTTATCCCATCCTGAGCCAAGCCTCCCCTCCATCTCTGCTGGAGCAGAGAACGAATGAGCTCTGCACTCTTGATTCTCCTTTATTGACCAGTCAGTGACCTAGGCACTTTGCCTATTTGTCTTCTACACCCCACTGTCAGGGAATTGAAGACTGGTTAGAAAGAAAGCGGAAAATTTTGCATGAGGCTTTACTTGATTTGAATAAAAGACTGGAGACTGAGGAATCACTTTACTCCACCCTGTGTCTCCCCCGGCCTTAGGCGCCCCACTCCTTATCCTCTTCCCAGCAGCTGATCACAATTTCAGTGTCTTCTGTGTGTGGGTGCTCAGAAAGTCCCAGGGAGGAGCCTGCAAGGGTGGTTGAGAGGTGGATAACCCTGCTTCACGTTTCTTGTAGAACGGCTGTAAGAACTGTGGCCGGGCTTTCTGTTCCAGCTGTCTTAGCTTTAGTGCAGCAGTGCCCCGGGCTGGGAACACCCAACAGAAAGTCTGCAAGCCATGCCATGAGGTCCTGACCAGGTAAGAAGCCTACATGGGCAAGGATTCAGCCAACCATAGCAGCAGACAGCTGGCCAGTCCTTGCAGTCTGTGCTCTGTGGCCAGGGGTCAGCCCAGGAAGTGTTTGGGGTGGGGGGGGCAGTGACTGGGAGATGGCAGGACTTCTGAAACCAGATTTCTTTTCTATAGAGGATCTTCTCCTGCCAATGCCTCCAAGTGGTCACCACCTCAGAACTATAAGAAGTAAGTGCTGACCTAGCCTGTTTGCTCAGTGGTTGGAGTGTTCACCTGTGAACTGAATGGTCCCTGGCACGTACCTCAGTTGCAGGTTCAATCCCCAGCCCAGTCGGGGCACGTGCAGGAAACAACCAATTGATGTATCTCTCTCACATCGCTGTTTCTCTCTCTTTCTCTCCTCCCCCCTTTTCTACTCTGTCCAAAAAGCAATGGAAAAAATATCCTTGGGTGAGGATTTAAAAAAAAAAAAGAGCTCGGCCAGCATGGCTCAGTGGTTGAACATCAATTTATGATCCAGGAGATCAAGGTTCGATTCCCAGTTAGGGCACATGCCCAGGCTGTGGGCTCAATCCCAGCGGGGGAGTGCAGGAGGCAGCCAATCAATGACTCATTGATGTTTCTGTCTCTCTCTCTCTCTCCTTTCCTCTCTCTGAAATCAATAAAAAAAAAAAAGAAGTAAGTGCTGAAGGGACAGAGACAAATGTGGATGGGGAAAAGGACAAGGGAGCCCTAGGGTAGGACTCTCTTCCCAGCCTCTAGAAAAAAGGAACACAGAGTCAGGAGAATACCTTCCTCTCAAGCTCCTGACTGTCCTCTTGGGATCAGAAAGCAGCTCATTAGCCCTCTTCCTAGAAAAAGTTCTTGATAGACATTCTCCTTTCAGTTGGACCCTCCAGCTGGGCAGCTGGGTTGAGCTGCAGGACAACATGCATGAGGGCCACAGGAGATTGTCCATTGGAGGCCTACCTAGATGCCTAGAAATTATTTGAATGGGTAAAAGTGAGTGGGTGCCTTCACCCCTCCTTTCTGCCTTCTTCAAGAGCCTTTATCCTGCCAGGCGTGTGGCAGCCTTGGAAGCCAAGCAGAAGTCCAGCACTCCCCAGAGCCAGGGACTGACCCAACAAGACCAAATCATTGCTGAGCGCCTAGCTCGGCTCCGCCAGGAGGACAAGCCCAGTGAGTAGGGGCAGGCAGGGTGGCCCAAAGGACATTATCTGGGGCTCCTGGGGCTGGGATTCCTCTGAATCTTACAAGGTTTCCCCATGCCAATTGCAGAGTCAGTACCCTCACAGGCAGAGATAGAAGCCAGGCTAGCTGCACTGAGGGGTGAACCCCAGGGTTCCATCCCTTCTACCCAGGAGATGGAGGCACGGCTTGCTGCACTGCAGGGCAGAGTTCCACCTTCTCAGACTCCTAAGTTGGTGAGTGCTATGGCTTAGTACATGTATGCTTATGTACTCTGTAGGAGTTGTCAAGCCTCTCACTCCTACCCCCTGATCCTCAGGTCTGCTGCCAGGCCAAGGAACCAGGGACAAGCAGGATTGGATGGGGCAGGGAAGAGTGGCCCCTCGGTCTTGTTGGGGACTGTCAGACTACTCAATTATATGGGCCCTGGATTAGTTCCTCATTCCTTAAGCTTTGGAAAGTCCTCAGCATTCACCCCTGACATAGAATGCTTTGGACCTTATGGTGTGGCTTCTTCCCTATCCTGATCCCCACTGAAGTTCCCTCCTCTGAGCAGGTGCATCAGCCATCAGACACCAGAACCCAGGCCCAGCAGGCGCAGGATCTGCTGACACAGCTCACAGCAGAAGTGGCTATTGATGAGAGCTGGGACCGAGGAAGCCCAGGTAACTTCACCTGAGCCCCTCCTTTTTCCCCAGGTGGGAGAGGCTCTGCTACCCTCTGGGGGGTGAATATACATAAATCAGAGAATAGTCAACATTATAAGAGCTACCAGTTATTAAGTGTTTACTTCTGTGGCAGCCAGTGTAAGCCTAGTGGATAATGTGTGGACTTCCGAACCAGTCAATGATTCTTTCTCCTACCACTTACTAGCTCTGTGACCCTGGGAAAGTCTCACTTTCCTCACCTGTAAAATGGAGGTGTGTGTGTTAAAACCTACCTTGTGGGGAAGTTTCAAGGGGTAAATGAGATAATCCAAGAAGCTCTTAGGACCCTGTCCAGCTCATAGTAAGTGCTTAGTGAATGTTCTTTGCAATGATGATGATAAGGAGGAGGAAATTAATTTAAATTTAATTAAAATTAAGTAAAATTTAAAACTCAGTTCCCTCAGTGGTACTAGCCACATTTCAAGTACTCAATAGCCACTTGTGGCTCATGGCTACCATCTTGGACAGCACAAATATAAACCATGATATGGAATGTTTTCATCATCATAAAAAATTCTATTGGACTGTGCTACTCAAAGGCTTCAGAGTAGTGGTTCTCAACCAAGGACAATTTCCCCTCCAGGGCCCATTTGACAGTGTCTGGAGACTTTTCAGTTGTCATAACTCAGAATGTACCACTGGAATCTAGTGAGCAGAAGATAGGGATGCTGCTAAAACATCATATAATGCACAGGACAGCCCCACAGCAAAGAATTATCCTGCCCAAAATGTCAGTAAAACCGACATTGAGAAACCCTGCTTTAGATACACAATCTCATTGAACATCCTCAGTAATCCTATGAGGTACATACTATTATTATCTGTATTTTATAAATGAGGAAACTGAGGCCTGGTGGGCTTAAGGAACTTGATCAAGATCACACAGCTATTAAGTAACAGCTAGGACTTGAACCCAAAGCTGTATGCTTTCAAACCTCTTGGTCTGAAGCTGAGTTAAAGGGAACATGTTAAAGCCACACCCACGCTGGCAAAATTCTTCTAGCCTAGAAACACGTAAGACCTCAGATTCTGTCGTGTCCTCTCTGTGCTGCTCCCTGAAAATGCTAATTCAGCCTGTAAGGCAGAGACACTGCTGAACCTTGGCCTCCCCATATCCTGATCCTTTGGGGCAGTGATTCTCATACTCTGAGATGCCTGCCCTAAGGACAGCATGTTAAAATATCAGATGGGTGGGGATGGATGTGGCTGAAAAAACCTCTAAGATGACTGGTGTTTTACATTGGGAAAAGTGGAGGAAATACTCATTTGTAATGTAAACCACAGGAGCTAGTATTGAACAAATAGCTGATGATCAGTGGGTTTTTATAAAAAGTTGAGAAATGCTCTCAGTAGCTTCTGATGAGAGATCTTGGAATGTCTCTGTCTCCCTGACAGCATCGCTCCTTCCAGCTGCCTCTGTCCAGAATGACCTCAACCAGGGTGGACCAGGGGGCCAGAGTGCTAATTCCAAGGGACAGGCCATCTGGTCCCTGGATGGGGAGAAGAGCAGGCTGCTGGCTGAAGCAGCAGTTGAGCTGCGGGAGGAGAACACAAGGCAGGAGCGGATCCTGGACCTTGCCAAGCGCCTGGCTGTGCTTCGGGGACAGGACCCTGACAGAGGTAGAAGCTGGGGAGCAGCCCCCAACCCTCACCCCCAGTCCAAGCTCTGCAGAATGGCTGCCAGGCTCAATCAGGTGCTGGGGGTCTCTGTGCCGAGGGGTATATCAAGCTCTCCTCAGAGCCATAGGAAAGTACTGGAGCAAAGCACTGGATGCGGAATAAGTGGCAGCCGTCAGGGTGCAGGGGACCCTCAGTCCCTTTAGGTGCAGAGTCTTCTGTTCCTGTCCCCAGCCCTGCAGGGTGGAGCAGGGAGGGGGAGGGCCTCATCAGAATGACTGCAGAGACTGCTCAGCTCTGGACCAAGTGCCACTGGAAACCAAACCAGCTCCTCAGGTCAAGAGTACAGCCACTTAGGTGAACTCTCTCTGCCTCACTCCTCCCCTGCTTCTACCTCTCTTCCTCTTCAAGTGACCCTCCAAGACTATCACCTCCCAGATAGTGATGACGACGAGGATGAGGAGACAGCCATCCAGAGAGTCCTGCAACAGGTGGGCCTGCCTTACCCACCTGACCACCCTTTGTCCTGTCTCTACCTCATTGCCCACCACCCACCTGGCTCCATTCACCCTGCCTCCACTCTGGGACTGGATGGCCAGTCACTCTGCTGTTCTGGCTGGGGCCCCACTTTCCCTATGACCCAGACCTACCCCCTGACCCCTTGACATGGGGTGTTAGCAGCCACAGGCAACAGATAAAGGAAGATGGGTTGAGAAGCTAAGGCCACAGAACCTTCAGGGGTGTGGGGGAGGACCTGGGCCATGAGCAGGGAGCTGCACTTCTTTGCCCTGTCTACAGCTCACTGAAGAAGCTGCCCTGGATGAGGCAAGTGGCTTTAACATCCCTGCAGAGCCAACTCGCCAACCCCAGGCCAAATCCTGCAGGGCAGAGCCTAAGGTGAGAAAAGCCCCAGACACAGACCCCTAGGTCGTCTTCACATCAGTCTCCCTCCTGACTGGCCAACTGCTCCAGCAGCAGCCCTCCCTTCCGTACTCCATCAAGTACATTACTCCCCCCATTCCTCTCTGCTCCCTGAAGGCCCAGGCTATGGCCACCAGGCCTGAGACTGAGGTAGAGGAGTTCCCCTGGTGCTGCATCTGCAATGAGGACGCTGCCCTGCGCTGCGATGACTGTGACGGAGACCTCTACTGTGTCCGCTGCTTCCGGTGGGTGCAGGTAGAATGTTCTATGGGACTGGGAGTGTCCAAGGGCTACCTGTGATTCCTGACCTGTATCTCTTTGTTCCACAGGGAAGGCCATGATGCCTTTGAACTTAAAGAGCACCGGACATCTGCTTACCACCCTCCACATGCAGGACGAAAGCACTGAAAAACCCTGGTCCTCCCGGGAAAGCAGTCCTACAGGCAGTCACACAGGCTGGGGAACCCACCACTGGGCCCAGCCTTGGGGCATCTGATGGGAGAGCATGTCAGGCTAGACTGCTCATGGGTGCACTCTTTCCTGAGCCTCGATGTCCCTGGAAGGGGGAAAGATTGGAGATGATGAACAGAGGAGCCAGAGGGAAGGCAGAAGTCGGGAGCCCTCCACCAGCAAAGCCTGGACTGGAAAGACCAGACTGAATCTAAAGATGAGCCTTGAAACCTGCTCAAGGGCCCTAGCACTTAGTGTATCAAATAAAGTATGTTGATTCCTTGGGCCCAGCATCTTTTATCTCTAGATCTCTGTGGGCCCTGAACCTGGGTCCTTGGAGAGGTGGTAAAAGCAGAGTAGGCTGTAAGTCCAGTCCTGTAGAGTGAGGGAAAGGATTGAGCCCTCATGTAAGATTTTCCATTCAGGAAAAGTACCACCCATCTTGGAGGCCTCGTAGGCAGTAGGCATTAATATTTGTTCAACTGAACTGAACTGTGCGTCCTGCTCTGGGTAGCCCAGCCTGTCCCCCAGGCCCCACCCTCTTGGATTCTCAGCCTCTCTAGTACTCAGACACTACATGCGCAAACAATGGATGCATACCCCGCTTCCTGCCTTACTCCCAAAGGACACCAGCTCCCAGGGCTCCTGTCCCAACCTGCCTGCCATTCTGACTCAGTGTCTGCCTCTAGCAACTCCTTCCTGACCTGACCCCTGACCTCTCAGCCTGTACCCTTTACACCCTTCTGCTTAGCTCCTGCTTTTTCTCTTCCTGTGGCTGGAGCCAGCTCAAGAAAGAGTTCTCTGCCTGAGGCCTGTATCATTTAGTGGGGAAGGTGGGTTCAGCCTTTCCTGATGCCCCAGACCCAACCAGCTTTTTCCCGTTACCTTTCCTCTGGGACTCAAAACTAGTCCTTGCCACTTGGGCTCCTGTAGTTGATGACAGGATGCTTTGTGTCTTAGCCTCTAGGCCTTGCTAGATTGTGATCTCTGAAGTAGAACTGTGACCTTCATCTTTAAATTCTCAAAGACTGGATGGAGGGATGGATGAAGTGTATGGATAGAGTATAGTGACTCAGGATGCTGGCCTTCTGGTGTATCACTTCACCTCCCTCCCCCACCTCTCAGCACAGAGATGCTCCACACTCCATTCAGCTGGGACTCCTAAAGGTTTTATCCACTTGGCTGGCAAGGAAAGCACTAGGCAACAGCCATGACTGGCTCTCAGAAGGCCCAGCCGACAAGAACTAGTTGTGACTGTACATACAATGGGGGTGTGCAAATGTCCCTCCGCATCTTCCAATGTTCCTTGTCTGTGTCCCAAGGAACCACTTCCCTCTCAGCCCAGGATCCAGAGGCTCAGGGCAGGCCTGACAGTGCTGAGGCTGTTGCATGTAGTCTCACAAGTCTTATTTCTGAGGCCGACTGAGTCTCCGGAGTTTCTTGAGTTGACTGAGTAGTTCAGAGATAAAATGCTGAGGAAGAAACAGGTGAGATTGAGGCATGGAGTCACACCCACCCACCACACTGTCCCTAATCTCTCCCTGATCCCATCTCCCTAGAACAAGGGGAGGGGGAAAAGATGCAGGGCTAAGCTTTCCTTTCACTAGCTGCCTCCCCACTGGGCCTCCTCTTACCCCAGAACAGCGAAGTATCCTTACCTCTGTGGGATGGGGACAGTCTTGGAGAAGAGCCTGGGTAGAAGAGAGCAGACAGTGAGTCCCTGAGCCACAGCACTTTTCCACAAGCTCCCACTCAGTCTTCCAGGAAGTCTCTCTGATTTGGTTCTCCCCACTCCACCCAAGGAGACAGAGCCTGGGTTCCTGGGTTCCCCTTAGTCCAAGCCCAGCTTCCAACCCCAACCCCTGAGCCTAAGGCCCAGCCCCCATTCTACCTCCAACTGAGTTTTCTGCTCCTCTGTGGATAGTTCCATGAGAGCCTCCAGGTCAATCTCAAGCTCAGAAGGGGTTGGTTGATCCTGTTTGGGAATCACATGGGACTCAGAGATGCCTGGCCAGCTAGTGCTGGAGTGAAAGTTATTGTTGGGGGCTCCCCCATCATCCCCCACTCTATTTTCCATGTTCAGTCCCTCTCCTCATCTTACTCAAACCACCCATACATTCTTCCATAACAGTTACTGAACACCTACTACGTTCACCTACTATGACCACCACAGAATTCTTTAAAAAGAGTATCAGTTTAATTTCAAAAGTTATATACATTGTTGGTAGGGATGTAAAATGGTGCAGCTGCTTTGGAAAACAGTTTGGCCATTCCTTAAAATGTTAAATATCATCCGACCCAGCAATTCCACTCCTAGGTCTATTTCTAAGAGAAATGAAAACATATGTCCACACAAAAATTTGCACATGAATGTTCATAGCAGCATCATTCATACTAACCAACAATTTTAAAACAACCCAAATGGCCATCAACTTGTGAGTAGATAAAATACGATGTAGCCATACAATGTTATTCATCAATATAAGGAACAAAGCACTGATTCATGCTATAACATGGATGAATCTTGAAAACATTGTTTTTGTTTTTTAATCCTCACCTGAGGATATTTTTCCCATTGTTTTACAGAGAGAGTGGAAGGAAGGAAGAGAGAAGGAGAGAATCATCAATGTGAGAGACACATTGATTGGTTGCCTCCTGCATGCACACCGGGTCAAGCCTGCAACCAAAGTACATGCCCTTGGCCGGAATCGAACCCGGGACCCTTCAGTCTGAGGGCCAATGCTGTCACCACTAAGCCAAACCAGCTAGGGCGAAAACATTGTTAGTGAAAGAAACCAGTTATAAAAGGCTACGTATTATATGATTCGATTTGAATGAAATGTCCAGAATAGGTAAATCTATGGAGACACAAAGTAGATTAGTGGTTTCTTAGGGCTGGGAGTGGTGGTGGTAAGAAATGAGGTATGCCTGCTAATGGGTACAGGGTTTCTTTTAGGGGTGGTAAAAAGGCCTAAAATTAGATTGTGATGGTTTTACAGCCATGTGAAGATATTTAAAATTGTGGAATTTCCCACTTTTATAGGGTATGTGAAATAAAGCTATCTTTCAAAGTTATTACAGTCATTGAAAAAAATCTAAATTATAGAGGTTATAAAATTAAAGATGAAAGAAGCTCAGGAGAATAAGAAGATAAGCCACAGACTGGGAGAAAATGTTTGCAAGAGATATATCTGATAAAGAATTATCCAAAATATACTAAGAACGCTTGAAACTCATGAATAAGAAAAATATAATTAAAAAGTGGACAAAAAATCTGGACAGATGCTTCACCGAAGAAGATACACAGATGGCAAATAGCATCTGAGAAGATACTCAATATCATATGTCATTAGGGGATTGCAAATTAAACCAACAATTTGACACCACTACACACCTATTAAAATAGCAAGAAATCTAAAACACTGACGACACCAAATGCTGGTGAGGATGCAGAGCAACGGGAACTTTCATTCATTGCTGGTGGAAATGCAAAGTGGTACAGTCACTTTGGAAGACAGCCTAACACTTTCTTATAAAACTAAACACAGTCTTACCATACAATCCAACAATTGTGTTCTTTGGTATTTACCCAAATGACTTGAAAACATTTCAACACAAAAACCTACACACGAATATTTACAGAACCTTTATTCATAATTGCCAAAACTTGGATGCAACAAAGATGTCCTTCATTAGGTAAATAGATTACAAACTGTGGTACCTCCAGACAATGGAATATTATTTAGCACTAAAACAAAATGAGCTGTAAAGCCATGAAAAGATATAGAGGAACCTTAAATGCATATTACTAAGTGAAAGAAGCTAATCCAAAAAGTCTACATATTGTATAATTCTAACTATACGACATTCTGGAAAAGGCAAAACTATAGAGACAGTGAAAAGATCAGTGGTTGCCAGGGGTTGCGGGGAGACTGGGATACATAGGTGGTGCACAGAGAATTTTTAGGGCCATGAAACTATATGATATTATAATGGTGGATGCATGTCATATATACATTTGTCAAAACCCATAGAATGTATAACACCAAGAGTGAATCCCAATATAAAATATGGACTTTGGGTGATTATGATGTGTTGATATAAACTCATCAACTATAACAAATGCACTGCTGTAATGAGGGACATTGATAGTAAGGGAGACTGCATGTGTGGGGACAGAGGAATAATAGAACTCTCTGTACATTCTGCTCACTTTTGCTGTGAACCTAAAACTGCTCTAAAAATTAAAGTTTATTTTTAAAAAATATACCCAAGGGCCAAGATTTAATGAACTTAATAATTTTTTACTGCCTCATCAATTAAGTGAGAGTGGCATGGTAGTGAAGAACATAATTACTATGCAGGTTGGTGTCATTTTTAAAAAAGTTTATTGAGGTGACATGGGTTAATAAAATTATATAAATTTCAGGTATACAATTCTATAATACATCATCCGTACATTGTATTGTGTTCACCACCCAAGTCAAGTCTCCTTCCATCACCATTTATCCCGCCTTTACCCTCTTCTACCTCCTCCCACTCCCTTTCCCCTCTGGTAATCACCACACTGGTGTCTGTGTCTATGAGATCTGGGGTTTTTTTGCTTAATCCCTTCACCTTTTTCACCCAGTCCCCCAAGCCCCTCCCCTCTGACAGCTATCAGTCTGTACTTCGTATCCATGAGTCTATTTCTATTTTGTTTGTCAGTTTATTTTGTTCATTAAATTCCACATAGGAGTGAAATCATGTGGCACTTGTCTTTCTCTGACTAGCTTATTTCACTTAGCGTGATACTCTCCAGGTCCACCCACGCTGTTGCAAAAGGTAAGATTTTCTTCTTTTCTATGGCCAAGTAGTATTCCATTGTGTAAATGTACCATAGCTTTTTCATCATCTCACTTACTAATGGACACTTGGGCTGCTTCCAGATCTCGGCTATTGTAAATAATGCTGCAATGAACATAGGGGTGCATGGTGCCACTTTTTTGATTCATGCTAAGAGCCATTATTGCTTTTGCATCATCAGTACAAGTGTCAATATAGTGAAAAAGGCAAACAACATCTTAGTATTATTGTGAAAATAATCATGGCCCCCTAAAATGGGCTCGGGAACCCCTGGAGTCACCAGAACACACTTCAAGAAGTGCTGCCTTATCCATTTTTCTATTGGTTTGTTCAGTTTTTTCTTACTGATTAAAAAAAAATCATATTAGCCCTAGCATTCCACGTATGATATAAATATCATTTATTTGGAAGGGTTTGGGAAAATAGGTGTATGTGTTTATATA